ATGACACCGAGAGGCTGATGCGACTCCTCTGATGAGCCTGCTTTCCACCACCACCACCATCAGTTGGCGGGGGGAAGGAGGAGCAGGAGGATGGCGAAGAGGAAGAGGAGGAGGAGGAGGAGGAGGAGGAGGAGGGCGAGGAGGAGGAGGCCCCCCCCTCCAGCTTATGGTGGTGGTGGTGGTGGTGTAAAATACGCCCATCCTCCTCCTCCGCACCCCTTCTCTCTCCCACGCACAACAGGAGGAGGAGGAGGAGGAGGAGGAGGAGGAGGAGGGGGAGGAGGAGGAGGACCCCCCCTCCAGCTTATGGTGGTGGTGGTGGAAAATACGCCCATCCTCCTCCTCCGCATCCCCTTCTCTCTCACGCACAACAGAAGCAGCCCGGCGTGCCGCTCGCCTCGCGGAGGCGCGCGGCCGCCGGGGGGCCGGCCCGTGGCCTGCTCTCCCGACGGCGCCCCCCCCCCTGGCGCACGCACGGCTCTCCCGCGAAGCCTTCCGCGCTGCCTCTGCCCTGTAAGCAAGGGCTCCCACGAGGGCGCGAAGTTATTCGCGCTTCGCGCTTCGCGGTCCTCGTTCCTTCTCCCCCTCCTCCTCGTCCTCCTATTCTCCCTTTGGGAGGGCGGCGCGAGAGCGCGAAGTTATTCGCGCTTCGCGCTTCGCGCAGCGCGAAGCGCGAAGTTGGGAGCCCTTGAAGAACGTTTTTTTGAAGGCAGATCTGCCTTCCAAAAACCGTTCTTACAGAGTGGACCAGTCTTTCCTCCCTGCAGATGTTTTGAAGGCAGATCTGCCTTCAAAAAAAGCGTTCTTACAGAGTAGACCAGTCCTTGCCTCCACGACGAGGTCGGCGGGGACGACGGCCAGGATGTTCCGGATACACACAGCGGAGTAGGCGGAGGTTGATAGACCTCTCACCCTGACACGTCGATTAGCGATAATTGGCCGTTTTCGGTTCGCGAGAGGGCGTCGCGGCCGTCATTTCTGCGGGTCCAGGTCCGTCGGTTTCGGTCCTGGGCCGATTTCACTAAGGGGAGGTTTACTAAAGGGAGGTTTGTCCACCGCCGACGGGGACGACAGCCAGGATGTTCCGGATACACAGCAGAGCAGGACCGACACGCAGACTTTTCGACGACATTGGAGGTGGCGAGTTCTGGGCAACTCCATGGGCTCCTTGACTGGCACGAAAGATGACGGTAGAGCCGCTGAAGCGCGATTCATAATGTTGTTGTTTAGTTATGATGGGTCAACTAATCTATCACGTGCAGCAGCAAGTCAGACCAGCAGCCTATCGTCTGCACGTCTGTATCTCTGGCGGCGGTGTGTCGCTCCTTCGCTCGATGATGTTCGAGTCGTGGCTGGCAGCGTGGGCGGCTGGCGCGCTAGCTTTTGTAACGGATATACAGAGTATGAGAACGGCTGTACAGTGAATGTGAAGGAAAGGCTTGCGCCCCGCCTCGTCCATGGCTCGGTGGGGCCCGGACGGGTACTGGGGTAGCTCTGAGCAGTGCCTTGAGGGAGGAGGAGGAGGAGGAGGAGGAGGAGGAGGAGGAGGAGGAGGAGAGGAGGAGGAGGGAGGGGGAGGCGGAGGAAGGAGGAGTCAGGAGGATGAGAAAGAGGAGGATGAGGAGGAAGAGGAGGATGAGGAGAGGAGGGAGGAGGAGGAGGAGGAGGAGGAGGAGGAGGGAGGAGGAGGAGGAGGAAGAGGAGGGGAGGAGGAGGAGGAGGGGATGGAGATCGGACGCGCGCCAGGAGGGGGAGGCCGAGGCGAAGATGGAGCAGGAGGGTTTGGACCACGCCTCCCGCCCCGTCTGCTTCTCCCCGCCCCCGCCCTCCACAGGTTGGCGCGCTGCATGCGGGGCTGAAGGCCCGTGCTCGCCCGCCCCCCCCCCGCCCATCTCCTGGGGGAACGGCGGGCCGGCGCGTGGCCGGGCCTCCTTGGAGGAGGAGGAGGAGGAGGAGGAGGAGGAGGAGGAGGAGGGGAGGAGGAGGAGGAGGAGGAGGAGGAGGGAGGAGGAGGAGGAGGAGGAGGAGGAGGAGGGGGAGGGAGGAGGGGGAGGAGGAGGGGAGGAGGAGAAGGAGGAGGAGGAGGAGGAGGAGGAGGAGGAGGAGGAGGACCTGAGGAGGAGGAGGAAGAGGAGGAGGAGGAGGAGGAGGAGGAGGAGGAGGAGAAAGAGAAGGAGAAAGAGGAGGAGGAGGCCGTGTCGGGAGGTGGATGGGATCTCAGAGACAGGGGGCCTTCGCCGGGCCCCGAAGCCTTCAACCAGCAGTTTGGGATGAAGAGCTGGCCTCGTGGAAACGGTCGGGATGTCTGGGAGCACAGGGGTGTGGCTCTAGGCCTCCTGGACGGGGTTGGAGTAGATGGGGTCGGAGGATCGCGCCGCATCGGCGATGCATCGCCGATGCGGCTCGATGTGGAGCCCGATTTGCTTCGCGTCGACGTCGCCGATGCGTCGTCCACGTCGACGATGCATCGCCGCTGCATCGCCGATGCATCGCCGAGGGATCGGCGATGCGGCGCGATCCTCCGACCCCATCTGCTCCGACCCCATCTAGGAGGCCTCTGGTGGCGGAGGGGGGAGGGAAGGAAAGTATGATCGGGCGGGGCCAGGGCCAGGCTAAGTCGTTCCAGCGTGTACCAGAACTCTCTCAGAGCGTTCTGGGACGCCTGCGAACCGCCGCGGCGCCCGATGCATCCTCCCAAACCGTTGGACTTTTACGGACCCCTGGCATATCCTGGACCGATGGTGTCCGAGGGCTGGCTTTTCCTTACACGAGAGGGGTGGGAGGATGGAGCTGGCGAGAGGAGCCAGGAGCGAGGAGGTGGAGGAGAGGGAGAGGAGGAGCAGGAGGACGGCGACGGGTTGGCTGAGGCGGGGAGGGCGGAAGGAGGGAGGGAGGGCAGGAAGGAGCCTTGGGGGTAGCGTTAGGCGGAGGAGGAGTGCGGGCTGAGGTGGTTCCGGAGGGGGCGACGTTTGCAGAATTTTCGCGAGTTTCGGAGGTGGATAGACCTCCTACCCTGACACGTCGATTAGTGAATTGTCCGTTTTCGGTTCTCGAGAGGGCGCCGCGCCCGTTATTTTCCAGGCTTGCGCCCGCCAGGTTTGGGCCTGAAGTCGTTTTCTCTAAACCACGTTTTACTAAAGGGAGGTCTGTCCATCCCCGAGAGTTGCGGGTCTCCTGCGAGCGCAGAAGCGCCAACAGCGGCCGATAACCGGAGGAGGGCCAACAGCAGGAGGAGAAACGATCTCCGACGCAGTTCCCGTCGGGCATTTTTGGGATCGGCGCGGCTGTTCCTCCCTCGCCCATTGCCCCAAAAAAACTAGCAGCCAGGCACCTATATGTAAAACCTCCTTCTCTTCCTTCCCATGCGGGTTAGAGGCTGACGTCTGAAGGACTCGAGCACCAACTGGCCCTGCCCGAAGGCAGAAGTGTACATTGGGCAAGGTCTCCCAGGGCCACCGTCGCTGCAGGTCAAGGGCCTTACAAGGCTTATAACGCAATTGCGTGAAGGCGGCCAGGCCGCCAGGAAATTATTCAACAGCTGAACGAGAGGTACTTGAGTATTTGCCAACAGCCTGGCCTATCGCAGGATCAGAAGTTGAAGCTGGATGGCATGCTTAACGAACTGCATGGACAAGTTGAGAGAGACCCCCCCCGCAGCGGCAGAAGAGGTAAGACCAAATGGACTACTGGATGTCCTTCAATAGTCGACCTTTACAAAGGCTGAGACCGATGAGCATTGCGGACCCATTCTGGATCAGATTGCACCTTGGACAGTTATGGGCCCAGCATCGCATGTGTTTGTTCGGCGCAGACGAGCAGTGGAGCAATGTGTTATGGAGTGCCACAGTGCGGACTCAAACATACAGCTGGAGGTTCTGCGTCGAGCGCGTCGCCACAACGCAGGAGGTTCACTTTCTGCGAGAGTTGGTAGGATGAAATTGGCAGTTCGCGCACGCAGGATGTGCGCGGCCGTATTGATTCTCAAGGAAGAAGGTGCGGGACCCGACTCGGCCAAAACCTTCAGTCAGCCATGGACAGTAAGTGCGGAACAAACAATAGAGCGAGGAGAAGGAGGGACAGTGCGTGCATGGCGAAATAGTAAGAGATCGCAATTGTGGCAGCACGGTGGCGCACTTGGCGCGTCGCTCTGCCCGGAGAGTCCCAGTTCAGATGTGTCTCCCGCCCCCCCCCCCACCGTGGAGGCTGCTGCCGCGTCCGCGGCCCCGCTGTTCACTCTCGCTGGGCTCGGCTCCTCCTGGCCCCCCCTCTCGTCCCCTCCTGCCCCCCCCTTCTGCTCGCCTTCTGATGTTCCAACCTACTTTAGTCAGGAGGGAAAAGAAACACACAGACACAATCCATCGTCGATTCCTTAGAAAATATGGGAAAATATGGGAAGTGGGGGGAAGACAAAAAAAACCTAGAACATACGGGAAAATATTGGGAATTTTTGCATTTGTGTATATTTATTTGTGTGCCCCAGGGCCCCTTCATTTAGCTTTGATCACCAGAAAGAATCTCGAGCACCAGAAAAGAACCCAAACACTCGAGGGTCTTCACGTGTCGGACCCTGGAGGACACTCGTCCGACACTGTTTCCCTCGCTCCTCCCCCGCCCTCCTCCCTCCTCCCTCCTCCCTCCTCCCTCCTCCTCCCTCCTCCCTCCTCCCTCCTCCCTCCCTCCTCCCTCCTCCCTCCTCCCTCCTCCCCTCCTCCCCTCCTCCCTCCTCCCTCCTCCCCTCCTCCCCTCCTCCCTCGCCCGCCCCTCGCCTCTTCGCGCCCCGCCCCCCTTGTCGGGGCTGCGGAGCAGCCGCCCCCCGCGGAGCTGCCACGTCCGTGGCCGTGGGGCGGAAAACGACGCGAAGATCGGGACAACATCGGATCGGGATAACTCCGAATCTCTGAGAATCGGCGGGTTTGGAGGATGTATTGGGCGCCGCGGCCGCTCCAGAGCGTTCCGGAACGCTCTGAGAGCGCTCCGGAACGCTCTGGAGCGATTCATCCCGATCCTAGCCCTGTTTTAGGGCGGGCTGGCTGGCGGCGATACTCAGAAGCTGGGCGAGGGCTGCCAAAACCGTGGCTGCTAAGACGGCCCTCCCGGAAGGAAAAAACAACTTCCCGGAATGAGGCGCGGCTCGCGAAACAGTCAATGGGCTCCTTCCCGGAAGGACGAAGACAACTTCCCGGAGGTAGCAGCCCCGCCCCGCCCAGATTCCGAGGTACAGGCCACGGCGACCTCGATTTCGGCACTCACTGGGATCGCGTGGCTCGCGCTTCCCTGCAGCTGGCCGCGCCGTCTTCGCGATGTCGTGCACGTCGGCTCCCAGCACCATCCGTCAGCAGCGTCGCCGTTGGCCCGGCCGTGGGGGATGGGAGGCGGGACAGCCCACTCGTCCTGCCCGAGCTCCGACCCGGACCCCGATCCGCTCGTCTGCAGAAGCGGGGTCTTCCCCGCCCGTGCCACGCGCACCCCCTACGGTCGCACCGACCGCGGCGCGTTTGGCTGGCGGGCCCTGCAGCTGCGGGGCTCTGCGATACGAGCCTGGAGTCGGGCCTGTCTCTCCACAGGGGGAATACTCAAAAATAGTCAACAAACTAGTCTGGGGACTACTTTTGGAGCATTGTTTGACCATTTTGAGGTACTTGTTTATCGTAGTTTTTGTTTTTCGTCGAAAATCCCCCCGTAGGGGGCCACGCCCGACTAGCCTTGCGCAGGGCCACTTCGGAGTCACAGGCAGCTATCGCTGCTTCGTGACAAGGCCGGCTCCAAGCGCCTTTGTCCTCTGGCCTTTGTCCTGCGGGTTAGGAAGCTCACCAAGCACGGGATGAGGAGCGCCCAGAGGGGGAGGAGGAGAGGAGGAAGAGGAGGAAGAGGAGACTTCGGCGGTGGGATACTCATTGGCTTAGTGCCGCACCGCGGACCCCTTGGGAGCCCTGGATGCCACTATTCGCCACTATTCTTGGGGGCGTTGTCGCAGAAGTGTGTTTGCGTAGTGCGTCCATTTGGGAGCCCAAAGCCGTGCTCGAACGAATCTCTGTTGGGTCGTTTTGGGGCTCTCTGGTGGGCCTCGGCGGGGTGTTTTGGGGCTTCTTGGGGCCTCCTGGGGTCTCTTAGGCCATCTTGGGGCCTTCTGGTGTCGTTTTTGGGCTCTCTTGGGGCTCTTGGGGCGACCTTGATGACCCCAGAAGGGCGAAAGGGCGAGTAGGGCAAACATTTTGCAATAGCTAAAGAGCAAGGCGTGTTGGGGCTTCATGGAGGCGCAGAAGGTGGAGGAGGCGGAGGGGGCGGAGGCAGATATCGATTGAGTCGACCTTCGGCGAATCCCCGCCCCCCTTGGCCTAGTTGAAGCGCTGCAAGTTTTGGCCGTCAGTCTTGCCCATCATGCGTAACCTGTGGCTATGGTGCTCCGGCCTCCTCTCTCTCCGCATTTGTTTGTGCATCGGTGGAATGTGCCGCTCCAGTCGCCGATCGTCCTGCGTTTCCTCCTCCCCCTACTCGCCCTTCTCTGCTTCCTATTCTCATTACCCACGCGCCAGACTTCCGCCTCCTTCGCCTCCTCCCTCTGCTCTCGCATTTCGTACCCGCCTCCTTTCTCGTCCTCTCTGTCCTACTCGTCCTCTCCTTTCTCCCTTGACTCAGCTCCCAAATATTCGGTCCGTATCTTCTCCACGTAGTGTGTTTCGGATGAGTCGACAATTTTTGTTGTTTCTGTTCAACCCGATTTTTTTTGGTGTTTCAAAATGGTGTTTCCGCTGCAACGTGGGGTTCATGTTCGGATCGACGTTTTGCTCCCGTCGTTCAGAATGGCGTTCTCGTCCCAGCAAGGGCCACTTTTTTGGATTCGAGTCCTTGTTCATCGTTGTCTCCCCCCTCATTCCCCCTCCTACGCCTACCACTGGTCCTCTTGCTCCTCCCGCTCCAGCTCCTGCTGCTGCTAGTCGTCCTTCCTGCTCCGTCCGCACGTTTCTGCCCATCCTCCTGCTCATCCTCCTGCTAATCCGCCACTTCCTCCTCCAACGTACGCAGCCCATGCTTCCGATTGTGCAGAACACGAGGGGGTCCTCTTGTGAGGTCCAGGTCCGCTGTGACACGCGTCGGCGGATGGAAAGCACACAACGGAATGGGAAGGGATGGATGGGAGAGGTAGAATGTCAGATATGGCGCGAGCGCTGTCCCCTCTCACCCTCTCACCTCCCCCTTGTCGCCTCTCTGCCCCACCCTCTTCTGCTGCTCCTCTACCCCCTCTCGTCCTCCGTATTCCCTCCCCCGTTCCGCGGCTCCCCCGCTGCCCCCCCCCCCCCTGCCCCCTCTCATCCTTGCTCTTCCCCCTCGTTCCGTCGCTCCTCCTCCCTCCTATGCCTCCCTTGACTCTTCCGCCTTCTCTGCCCCTGCGCCCGCTGCTCCCCTCCCCTCCCCTCCCTCCCCGCACCTGCGGCGGCTCCGCGCCCCCAGGGCGTGCTGATCAAGTGCTCCGTGCTCGTGGGGCTCGCTCCCCTGCTGGAGGTTGGGTGGGGTTTGGGGTGGGTGGGTGGAGGGCGACGCAGGGCTTGGTGAGCGGGAGGAGGAGCTAGGAGGAGGAGGAGGAACTAGGAGAAGGAGAAGGAGAAGGAGGAGGAGGAGGAAGAGAGGAGGAGGAGGAGGAGGACGAGGATGAGCAGGTGGGTGGGATGGGTGGAGGGGGGTACGGGGCGAGGGGATGCGGGGGGGGGGGGACGGGGGTGGGGAGCGAAGCGTTGGGCTTGGTTAGGGGGAGGAGGAAAGAGGAGGAGGAAGATGAGGAGGAGGAGGGAAGGGCCACGGGGTTCCTTCCTTCGGGCAGGCCTGGGGCAGGGCGGGTTGGTGCTCGAGTCCTCCAGGCGCCAACCTTTAACCCGCAGGGGAAGGAGGAGGAGGATGAGGAGGAGGCGGAGGAGGAGCATGAGGAGGAGGTGGAGGAACAGAACGTTGTTACTTTGTCGTCGTGTTGCCCTTCCCCGTCACGCTGCTCCTCGCCCTCCTCAGGAGGTGGTGGCTCGCGCTGCGGTGCAGACCGTTGCCGCTGCGCCAGGAGGACGAGAGGAAGGAGGAGGAGAAGCAAGAAGTAGTCGAGCACTCGAGGGGATGTGAAACCCCACCGACTATCCGTTGCGCACGGATGCCCGCTTTCCACAGAAGTATGGCAAGGTCTCAGTTGGCCTCACGGATGCTTTCCTCGACATCTCGCCGCGGCTGGAAGAGATCGGTCCGACACGTGACAATATTCTATGCTTGGGCGGGCAGGAGGAACCTTCCAGCGAGGATCCAGACTAGGATGATGAGGACACTGAGAAGGAGCTCAGAGCAACCACAGTCATATTGGGCCCGTCTATATTTCGACATTTCAATATATGCATGTGTAGATGTCTACATTATTTGAGATGTGAATCTAGTTAAGTGTGTATGTGTACATCGGTGATCATGTATGCATGGCGATGTATATACACGCAACCTCTCCCTGTCTCTCTCCTTTTTCTGTTTCCTCCTCTCTCTCTCTCTCTCCCTCTCTTCCCCAAACCGTGCTTGCGCTCAGGGCCCTTTTACGGCCTGAGAGGAGCTGGGCCTGTGTGCCGCCCTGGCCGGCGCGCTCTCGTCCCGTCGCTAGGGGGCCACATGCGAACCCTACCCCTGCCCCCCACGATTTCTGAGGGGGAGGGTGGGGGTTCACTTCGTTCGGGAGCTCCCGAACGAAGTTCGGGCCGGGCGAAAGGGGGGGATTGGGAAAGGGGGGGTTACGGAATTTGCTGCATGCAGCTGGTTTCGGCCCCACCGAGGGGCCCATTCCTCGATACATGGGCGCCTCCGGCGCCGGGAGGCGCCGGGAAAATCAGCTACGTGAGCTGATTCTCAAACCCTCCCTTTGCTATCCCCCCCTTTCGCCCGACCCGAGAAGTGAACCCCACCCTCCCCCTGAGAAATCGTGGAGGGTAGGGGTAGGGTTCGCATGTGGCCCCCTAGTCGCCCCCGCGCCGCTCGTCGCCGCCCCTGCCCGCTTCGTCGCCGCCCGCCGCCCGCCTCCTCACCGCCGCATCACATGGACTGCACCGCTGGGCCGGCGTGCCGCCCTCGGCCGCCCTCGTGGGCGCCTCGCCGCCGCCCCGCCGCCGCCCCGCCGCCGCCCGCCGCCGCCGCCGCCGCTTTGCCGCACCGCATCACCTGCACCGCAGAGCTAACAGGATTGCACCAAGCTGACTGCCCCCTTCTTACCAGCCTCGAACGCACCCCTATCCCTAAGATTGACACGCCAAAAGGCGATGTCAATCTTAGGGATTCACCCTCAAAAACTAAGGGGATCCCCCTAAGATTGGCATCGTGATGAGGAGGTGCCCAGCATAGGGATAGGGATACGTTACAGGCTTATAACCTTCTTCACGAGAAGTATACATCTAACGGCGCACCGGGCCCCGGCGCCCGGGGCGGGCGCCGCTACCACAAATGTGGGCTCGGGTGCCCTCGGGGAGCCCCGGGGCCTCACAGAATACCGCCAGAAGGCACCAAGGAGGCCCCAAGAGGCTCCAGATGAGACCCAGAACGCCCGAAGGTCGCTTCCAGACGCCCAACATGGCCTCCAACGCGGCTTCAGAAGCCCCCAAGACCCCAAGCGACCCCCAATAGGGCCCCAAAGAGAGCCCCAAGGGGCCAAAATTGCCCCATTCCCTTCGTAAAGCGTATATGTTTAACATATTGCTTGTTTTCGCTGTCGGTCCGGCCGAGGACGCGCCCCAGAGGTCGCCAATGCAGCCCCAGAGAGCTCCAGGACGGCCCACGAAGGGCCCAAGACGGCCCAAGAGAGTCCCCAAGACGGGCCCGAGAGGGCCCCAGAGGAGGAAAGCCACCATCGAATTCCGAGCTTTCGACCCCAAGTGGCTCCAGGAGGCGCCGAGAAGCCCCCAAGAAGCGCCCGGAAGGCTCCCAAAAGCACCCCAAGACGCTCCAAGAGGCACCCCAAGAGAGCTCCAAGAAGCAAAAATCGTCCCATTCCTATGGGAAAACGTATATTTTTCGTATGTTCGCCTGTTGGGCTGTCATCGCGTCCAAGACGGCCCAAGGGGTTCCCAAGACGGCCTAGTAGGCCCCCAAAAGAGCTCCAAGACGGGGCCACGAGAAGCCCAGGACGGCCCAATGGGCCCCCAAGACGGCCCAAGAGAGCCCCAACACGCGCCCGAGAGGAGTCCCAGAGAAAGAAAGCCACTCGAATTCCGAGCTTTCGGCCCCAAGAGATCCCAGGAGGCGCCGATACGCCCCCAAGAGGCCCCAAGCAGGCCCCCCAAAGCACCCCAAGATGCTCCAAGAGGCACCCCAAGAGAGCCCCAAGAAACTAAAATCCGTCCATTCCTATGGGAAAACGTATATTTTTCGCATGCTCGCCTCTTGGGCTGTCACCGCGTCCAAGACAGCCCAAGCGGCCCCCCAAAACGGCCTAGGAGGCCCTTAAGAAATCTCCAAGACGGACCAGGAGGAACGCAGGACGGCCCAATCGGACCCCAAGACGGCCCAAGAGAAGCCCAAGAAGCGCCCGAGAGGGGTCCCAGTAGAAGACAGCCACTTTTCTAGAGAAGGGAATTCCCAGAATTCCCTTCTTTAGAAAAGTGGGACTCCTACTCGGGGGTCCCACACATCCCCTGACATCTGGCCGGTACCGCTCCTCCCGGCTTCCCAGGGGGAGACCCCAAGACGCCGAAGGACAGCCCATGACGACCCCAAGGAGCCCCCATAACGTAAAGAACGGCCCAACACGCTCTCGCGCAGCCCGAGCCCGACGGCTCTCCAGGCCTCCAGGAGGCCTCCAGAAGCCCCAGGGGGTCTGGAAGATCCCACACCCCTGAGGGGCCCGGCTAACAAAACCCGCGAGGTACAAACAAAAAACAGCGCCGAACAGCGCCGAGGAACTGGAACAAAATGGGAATACCACATTTTTGTGTTGTTTTCCAAGCTTGGCCCCCGTTCTACTCTTGCACAACAGACCAAAATTACGATCCCCCTCACCTTCAAAAATAACTCAGGAAGCCTTTGAGGGCCCCACCTCGTTGAATACCTTCCGCACTTCCCCTTCTATACGATTCCGAGGCTTGCGCAGGGCCTCCAAGGGAGTCCCTGGACGCAAGAAGCGACCAACATGACATTACATGAGTTAGCCGATCAAGCCTAGCTAGAACTTGAGCGCGCGCGAAGCGCGGGCCATGGTTCTAGTAGCATATAACCGCCCCCGGTCTGAGCGCTCATTTTTTCTCAAATCGTGTTTACTTGTACGATTCTGCACACTCGTCCGTCCTGAATGAACCCGTCCTAAATGAATCCTACGTCGCCATGATGACGCGCCCGCCCGAGTCACGGACTCGCACTGTAATGCCCGCTCGTCAGCGCGGTCTGCGAGACGCACTCAGTGCGCAATAGTGCGCCACCTCGGCCGCGTCGGTCGCGTCAGACTAGCTGGCCGCTCTGCGCGCGAGCCTGCCCGGTAGCGCGGCCGCGGCGCTGCGTCAGCCAGCGCCGACCAGTCATCGCAATCGCCGCCGCATGGGTTTTGCAAACCAAGTTGCGGGCGCGTGTGCGGGATGATTGCGCGAGCGGTGGATGGAGTTCACAACCTCAACGTCGGCAGGGTGAAACGTACTACGTAGATTGCGCGATATAGCTAACACAAAGATCCAGCTGCTTACGGCAGGTCCCGCCCCCGTGCGTGTGTTGTGTGTCGTAAGCCTACTGGCTGTTCGTTGGGATCTCGCGGGGGGCCCTCCCGGGGGCGTTTTGAAGGCAGTTGTGCGTCTCTTGGGGGCATTTGGGGGCCTCTTTGTCGCCTCTTGGGGCCTCCTGGGGGCCTCTTGGGGCGGAAGGCTCGGACTTTCAGTTCGCGTTCCTTCTCTGGGGCGCCTTTTGGTGCCGTCTTGGGGCCCTTTTGGGGTGGTTTTGGGGGCCACTTGGGCCGTCTGGGGGCGCTCTTCGGATGTCTTGGGCCCCTCTTGGAGGCCTCTTGGGTTGCTTTGGGGTGGTTTGGGGGGCCTCATGGGCCGTCTTGGAGCGTCGGAAAGGCGAAAAGGCGAGAACGCCAAAATGTTTCAAACACGCACTGAACATCAACGATTGTTGCCTTTGGGGGGCCCTTTCTGGACGACCTCTTTGAGGCCTCTTGGGGCGCCTTGGAAGCTTCTTGCGCCATCTTGAAGCCGTCTTGGGCGTTCTCGAGCGATCGTTCGGCCATTCGGGGCCCTCTTGGACCGTCATAGGGGGCCTCCTGGGCCGTCATGGAAGCCGTGGAGAGCCCCAGGGAGGCGCCATCGCCGCCCAGGGACCCTCCGGGAGTATGGCTAGTGCGCGCGGCGAGGTGCGACCCAGAGGTGGGGCCTTCAGAAGTCGGGGGTGGTCAGAACCCCCAACAGTGACACGTCGATTAGTGAATTGTCCGTTTTCGTTTCTCGAGAGGGCGCCGTGGCCGTGATTTTCCAGGCTTGCGCCCGCCAGGTTTGGGCCTCAGGTCGTTTTCACTAAAC